TCTTTGATTTTGTTTAAGTATCACTGTTAAGTTTTAGACTTCAGTTTAACCGACTGCACTCCTTAACTTGCACCCCCCCTGGTTACGGGCCTGGGCTTTGAACGACATAGGTTTAGTTGGCGTATGTTGGACTACGATAGTGATAAAGTTTCTGCATGGAAAATAGCTAGTCTAGGATAGGGTAGGAGTTTTTGGCGCCTTGCCTAGAATAGGGTTGCAAAATCAAGCTGATTATGGTCAAGCAAAGGGTAAGGGTGTCAGTGTGTCAACGACACACCCCTACCCTAAGTTTTACAGAGTACCCCCGGAGTTCCCGTCGCAGATCAAGGCCATCTGGATTTATTTTCTCCATTCTCAATTACTTTTCTGCTCAGTTTTCGCTTCCTAACCCTTTGATTAAAGTTCGAAACGTCAGCTTGCGCAAATGGCTGATCTGCCTATAGATGTCCAAGGCTTCCAACGAGTTTCACAAGAACGAAAAAAGCGCGAAACACTGGGAACGAGAACAAGTGAGGGCTTTCTACTGATCGGCATTGCCGCAAAAATGAGCCACTGTTTTCCTATCTGGGAAGGGGAAATATAAAACTGAGATTGAGATTATTGAACTGTTGTTAAGAAAACATAGAGCTTTTACTAGAGGGTAGCCATACCTTAGAAATGTCAACAAAAAAAACCTGTAAAGATTTAGCGAATTCATTAACCATTCAAAATAAAGCTGAAATCAAAAAATATATATATATACGGCGAGAGTATTCTGTTTGCTCTGTTGTTCATTACTTTTTTGTATGTGGTGGCTCCTAAAGGGGCCGTTTTGTTTAGTGAAGAATCGTCGCTCTTTACTTCTTAGCCGTTTTCTTGGCGGCAGGCTTCTTGGCGGGCTNGGGAAATATAAAACTGAGATTGAGATTATTGAACTGTTGTTAAGAAAACATAGAGCTTTTACTAGAGGGTAGCCATACCTTAGAAATGTCAACAAAAAAAACCTGTAAAGATTTAACGAATTCATTAACCATTGAAAATTAAGCTGAAATAAAAAAATATATATATATATATATACGGCGAGAGTATTCTGTTTGTTCTGTTGTTCATTACTTTTCGTATGTGGTGGCTCCTAAAGGAGCCGTTTTTTTCAGTGAAGAATCGTCGCACTTTACTTCCTAGCCGTTTTCTTGGCGGCAGGCTTCTTGGCGGGCTTCTTTGCCGCGGGTTTCTTGGCCGCTTTCTTGGC